TAAAAAGTTAAGAATGAATCAATTTCAGCTACTCAGCTGAGGAAAGAGGATGCAAGTTCAAGGTCAACCTTGGCAACTTAATGTGCACTGTCTCAAAATAAAACACAAAAGGGGCCGAGATATAGTTCAGAGGCAAAAAGCATTTGCCTAGCAAGTACGAGGCCCTCCATTCAAACCCCAGTACTGCAAAAACATGCAAAAATCAAAAATACAACCACTTTTAGACTAGCAATCCCACTTCTGGGTGTGTAGTCTTGCATGGCTTAATGTCGGCTACACTTTCTGAGAAATGCATCTTTAGGTGATTTTGTCATTGTGCAAACATCACTGTGTACAACCTCCAAAGTCCAAGCCTCCATGTTTGGGAAATGCATTTTCAAATTCATACCTGATTAGTTTGTCATGTATATTCTGAATTCAATCCTTCACTGAGCGCATATAGTAAGTGCCAGTCATGTGACTAGACCTTGTGGGAACAGAAATAATGAGGACACCGTCATTCTCCTGGAAGCTCATAGCACCATGAGCATTAGCAAGCATATTTTCAGGGCATTCAGCCTGTTTAGGAACTTATTGAAATAGAGGCTCAGAGGCCTTCCCACTCAGTGTTCACCATCATGAAGCCATCCTTTCCTTGTGGCCCCAGTTTGTAAGAGAATCTGGTCACTGCTCAGCACCCTGGACAGAAATTACATCTGTTCAGCACAGCTCAGCACATTACTGCCCAGGCTGAGGCAGGACTGTGAGGTCCTACAGGCTTCCTGCCCTCCCATCCCGTTTCCTTCTCCTCCTGGCACTTGACTGGACCACGTTTCCCAGACCCCTTGTGCTGGGTGTGACTGATTTCCAAAATGTGGAAGGAGGCTCTGAAATGTGGATCATGAAATTTTCCATTGATGGTTCTCCATAAGTCCCCTTCCCAGGGGAAGCTCCCATGAGCACCTTTTTTAAGAACACTAGTTCCACTCATCGGGTGCAGCTCTCATGACCTAGCCCCATCCCCACCTCTTAGCATCACATCATCAGGTTCCAGTAGATGAATTTGGGGGACACCAACATTCAGTCAAAACAGAGAGTTTAATCCTGATCTACACAATGCTCAAATGGGTGTCTCTGACCTGGGACTTCTGTCCTTTATGTACTGCTTTGGGAGCCTAGGTCCTTCCTTCTGTGACTCTGCCAGGCGCAACCTGTGCCAGATCAGAGTTCATCAAGAATCTCCAGATCGTATGCAAATTCTTGTCTTGGTGACCTTCAGCTCTGCAGCTGGACCAACCTCTGGTCCTAGAGGCTAAAGCCAATGACACCACGAGGAGGAAGGGAACCCGCTCCTGCAGTCCCTCGGACCCTCGTCTACACGGCCTTGCCTTCTCTACTTGCCGTCCACCCTTCCTTTAAATGAATGCATCCACAGGGAGGCTTCTTCAGTCTCCACAGCTTTGTCTTCTACCCTGAATTTTCCTGGAGTGTTTCAGATGGAGGCCATCTACTCTTGGCAACTTCAGTGGTGTGGTGTAAGGTGACATCATGCAAAGCTCTGAAACATGGCCTTGGTGACTCTCACCCCAACCCGTGCAGACAAGACAAACTGGGTTTAAAAGAGCAACATAAAGCTAAGAAAGCGGCGAAAAAATCACACAACACACAGAGTAGTTGTTAAACTGAGGGCGGGACAGCTCTGTGACCTTAAGGGTCAGCTTCCACGCTGGAAAGAGCACTGGAAAGAGACCGTGAGCCCATGTTTCCTTATTTTATAGGGGGGACATCAGAGACAGGGAGAAGGTTTCAAGGGTGGAGTCTTGCTTCGTGATGTCTTGTGGTCAGCAGGTTGACTGACATCTTGATAGGTCACACCCTCTCAGGTGCTGTGTGGGGTCTTAGGGGGAGGTACACCTGCATCCTGTGATCACTCCCTGATAGGGAGCCTGCAATGCTAGCTAGGCCTGTCCCCTCATCTGGCTACTGTGTGCAATGGTCCACACACACAGCCCATGGATGGCTCATGCCAGGTGACAAAAGATTCCACCACAGTTTGCTAACCCAAACCACATCACCAAGATCTTGGAGTGAGGGGAGGTGTTGGGTGCACAGAGGGTCCACCATCTGCTCCCCCTGAGAACTGAGGCTGGCTATGGGGTCTGCCCCTGACCTCCAGCTTGCAGAGGGCAAGGCTAAGAGGAAAATGGGGGGCACGTCCCCTTCCTATGCCAGGGCTTATCAAGGGAGGAAGGAGGAAGAGGACACTGGCCTTGTGCTTCCCACCATGGGCTCACTCAGTCCTACAACACTCGGAGGCCAGGCCTTTTAGCAATGGGACAGGAAAGCATCCTGGACACCTAGATCCCAGGCCCCACGTCCCTGGCTTGCCACACACGTGTGCCCTCACACACTCTCACACACATGTGCACCAAGGCCCATAGACAGGAGAACAAGACCAGCTCAGCATACTCTTAATTGCCCGTGCCTTGATTCTGACTGCAAGCCCATGAGAAATTGCCAAGCCTTCTAAATTCCGATCTGCAGAAACAGTGAGTGATAATAAATGTTTGCTGTTGTTCTAAGTCACTAAACTTGGGGGTAATTTGTTACACAGTAGTAGCGGACAGATACAAAGGAGCAGAGGACCTGACTCCTGTCAAGGGAGGAAGTGAAGAAAATCTGACATGAGTTTTTGTAACAATGAACTCATTTTGAGTGAAGGGCTTCCATACTTCCTCCTGGAGGTTTTTGTTACATATTCTGGAACTTCCCTGGGATTCAAATCCAGCGGGGGGATCCATAATTGAACAAAGATAATTTTTCCTTTTCTGAAAAGGGCATGCCATCCCCACTCTTCCAGGAGTCCCTTTTTCTCAGTTGCAGCATCGTTTGCAACTTCCTTCAGGTCCCAGGGTGATAATCATTTAGGACAAGCAACTTAAATTCTTTAAAATTTAAATTCTTAAAAATCCACCACATGCCCTTGTATCGTTTCCATCCCCAGCTTCTTCCTCCATGACCTCCAAGATCCTTTGACGGCTCCTTCGAACGTTCTGCTGGACGTGAGAACATGCAGGCCCTCCTCTGGGTCATCTTCGGGGACCTGGTACGCAGCAGTCTCCACCTCACCCATCCTGCCACACGCACAGCCCATGTGCACACGCACGGAGTCCTGGAGAGCCGAACAAGACCCATAGTGGAGAGTAGTTCTGTAGACAGGCCCTTACTCCAGCAGACCACAAGGGCTTGCTTGCTGTGTACCTCGATTTGTCCAGATGTCACCTAGAGAGGGTTATTAAATCTGAGGATCTAGAAAACTTAAACATAGGCAGACCAAAGAAGACATGAACAGGACGTGACCATTGCTCCTCTGCTCTGTGGTTAGTATCGGACGCCCACAGCACAGCCAGGCGTGTGGCCCTGCTGCACACGGGCAGACACCAAGGCATGGGTCACACACTGCTGGTGGGCAGAAGCAGCATCCACACCGCACGCACCTGGCCGTTCTTTAGTTTAACAAGCAGGTCCTGGGTGGGCATGCAGTGCAGGGGTGGAGAGCAAGCCCGGACCTCACAAGGCCTGGCTGCCAACCCCAGCACTAATTTTTTTAAAGTGATTATTTATACTTATGTTGAAAGAAAATCCAAGAATAACTGTGTGGTTTCCTTGAGGTTCGGGGCCCCAGAGACACAGTGACTACAAGGAGAGGACACGGGTGGATGGGGTGGAGTGCACTTTGGCCCCACGGTCATGGTCACATGGAGATTCACTCTGTAAGCAACACTACCAGGACCTCCTGCCTCCCAGCCTCTGGGTGAGGCTGGTGCAGTGGAGACGCTGAAGCCTGCTCTGCCTCGCGGGGGTCTGCAGAGAGACTGGCTGAGAGCTCCATCACTGCCTGTCCCCACTCTCATCCGCATCCCACACGAGTGGTGGTGAAAAGGGGCTCCCCTCAGTGGAATGGGCAGGCTGAGAAATAAAAGCTAAGAAAAATAGAGCAGCAAAAATAGCCACAGGACACAGAAGGCAGTTTCAAAAGCAGCAGCAGGACGGGCAAGCCGATCAGATGGATGGAGATTCTAGACTCCAGCAAACGGAGCCCGCGCCTGCTTCATTTATATCAGGAAACATCAAAGGCCTTCTATAGAATGTTCTTCACCAAGAAAGGTTAAAGGTGGACTGTCCAGTTCCTCCCAGGTTACGCCCATCTCCGGAGCTACTGTGAGGGTCTTCCTAGCAGAGCAGAGACAAAGATCACGTGCACTGGGCAATCTATTGCCGTGGGAGAGCCACGGATAGTTCCCAAGGCCCAACCTAAATCTCCCTGGCTTCATGCCGAGAGAAGATCCTCATGAACTTCACAAGTGGCTTCCTGCACCCCACCACTTCCTGGTGGGGGACCTTCTTGGGTGACTCAGCACCCGTGAGCCTATGAGGCAGAGTAGTGCATCCAAGATCACCCGGGTTCCCTGTGGATTTCACAAGACTGTATTCAGCAGGCTGGCACATCATAGAGACCTTAGCATAGGGTGGTGACATTAGGACCACTTGGGCTTTGATCTGGACTATTGATTGTGGCTCTCTGCAAGCCAGCCTTCGTGTGCATGCATACACACACACACACACACACACAACATACAAATGCACATAGGCACACACATATACTTGTATATTCACACACATGCTCACACATCCCACGTACACAATCATATACATATTCAAAGACATACACATAAACTCACACGTGTACGTAGACAAATCTACAGACACAGTCACATATTTATCTCACACATGCACATATCTTCACAAGTACTGATGAGCACATACACCCATGTACACACACCACACACACACACACACACATACTTATGAAGACATGCTCACACATACATTCATCCCGCTGCCACCAATTCCTATGAGAACCGAGACTTGTACCATCAAATTGAAATACCATAAAAGCCATGTGTGTCATTTAAGTTTTCTGGTGCCCCAACCAAAAAGAAAAAGAAAAAAGAAAACCACACAGGTGACACTCATTTTAATAAAACATTTGTTAAACCCAGTGCATCCAAAATATTCCTTCACATGTAATCAATAGCTTCAAAAGATGAATATTATACATTCTTTCTATTTCTGTGCCAAGACCTTGAAATATAGAGGCATTTTACCTCCCGACATCTCAGACACTCAGAGCAGCATGGACCTGGGCAGCTGAGCCTGGGTCCGTGACCTTCCTCCTCTGAGCTTTGCTTCCTTCACCTGCTTGGTGGTGGGGACCCATGTGGGTTCCGTTCTCCGGCTTCAGCCACCTGCCCCACTGCCCGCCCCTGACCAACCAACTAGCAGGGAGTCACCACTGTCGGCAGGTAGAACGACACAGGGCCAATGCTGGGCCTAAGTGAAGCAGCACCGACCCAGGCTTAAGAATGTCATCAGGCAGCCCTCCAGCCACGGGGTGACCAGGGAGGTTCCCAAAGAGCTCATCCAGGAGGGAATCGGCTGGTAATTGCTGCAGAAAAGAAGAGACCACTGTGAAAGCTGACAACCAGAGAGCAGTCCTTTGAGCTTTCTAGGGTCCCCAAAAGAGATAGAAATTATTCCTCTTTGGGTACCAAGAACTGAACCCAGGAGCATTTAACCACTGAGCCACATTCCCAGACCTTTTTATTTTTTATTTAGAGACAGGGTCTCACCAAGTTGCTTAGAGCCTCACTAAGTTGCTGAGGCTGGTTTTGAACTCGTGATCCTCCTGCCGCAGCCTCCGTAGCTGCTGGGATTACAGGTGTGCCACCGCACCCAGCTAACTTTGGTGTTAAAACCATAATAAGAGACCCCTCGCCAATGAAGAAGCAATGGCTCTCTGGAATAGCCAAAACATTCAAACTGAACTGAGTTCTTTTTTCATACACCAAGAGGCAAATACCTTATAGAGCAAGACCCAGGGCTTGTGAAGCTATCGTAAAATGAGCAGTCTCCTGCAACACCCGTGGACATATCCACAGGGACAGCCTTTCCCAAAACCCATCAGCAGCATGTCGTGAGCCCTCCCTCTCTGCTGGTGCCTAGGCTTAGAAAGCCATCGAAGCGGCTTCGCCCTTAGCCTGTGCTAATTGCTGCACACTGTGACTTAACCGCATCAGCATTTATAGTTAGGGGGCGACTCTTCAAATTGGCTGGGCAGCTCCTCTGGCCTTGGTGGCTCGGCTGGAGGATCGACTAGGGACTAGATGACTTGGGATGGTGACATGGTCAGGAGAAAGTGCCCACAGACCTTACCAGGGAGTTTAACTCACCAAGGACCCTGTGGCTGTGCTCTGAAACCCTCCGCCATGTTCCCACAGTGGCACATTGCCCATGGGCCACCACCCCACGGAGGGCTCCCTAGAGCATGGACCCTAAGGCAGGCCACCATTTCCTGAGAGACTTGGGACTCCTCTGATGCCAGCTTCAGTGTAGGGACTCCCCAAGGACTCTGCCATACCTGGCAGTCTAGAACATTCCTTCCAGCCTTCCTCTCTGTCCCCTCCCTCAGGGACAGATGTGCACTGGGACCTGACAGCTCCCCTGGCTTTCCTGAGCCTGTCCATTTTCCTTCATGCAGACATTTCCCCTGATAAAATCCTTGCTCACACTGCAGGACGCCTTGGCTACTGCATTTTGGAGACTTGACCAACACAGATGGCCTCACTCACGTGCCAGTACCTGTCTGCTGGCCGCAGTTCTCCTCGGGGGGCCTCTCATCCTCCATGGGCTGGCTGGGCACATTCTCTAAGAAGCTGCAGCCACTTCTCAAGTTGCTTTTCCTACTGTTCCTCTGGCCATGGCCTGAGCCAGGGTGAAGGAATTGTCCTCCAGAACTGGGGTCCAGGCAGGAGAGCCATTGTGGCTTTGTTTGCAGACAGGCAACCAGAGGAACACCCAGGGACCTGCCTGTGAGGGCCTCAGCACAGCATTCACTCATCCCTCCTCCATGGAGCTTCTGAACACCCACCATGGACCAAGGGCTCTCCAAGAGGCCAGGGATTAGCTGGAGCAACTTGGCAAGCTCAGGGCTGTCCCAGAAGCCGTATGCCACTGGAGAGGGCCAGGTGGACAGACAAACAGCCAAAGAAGAGAGTGGAGGGTGAGCCGTAGTATGCACAGAATGCAGAAAATCAAAATGCAGCAATGGGCGAGTGAGCGGAAGGGGAGGAGCCGGCCACATGGCCTTGCAGGTCAAAGAACAGACTAGACCAAGGCCCAGGGGCAGGAGATGGCCCAGCAGGAGGGAGGAAGAGTAAGGAGACCATTCTCAGGTGCACTGAAGGGAAGGGGGAGAAAGAGTGTGTGACAGGGCCCTGAAGAAGCCACACTTGGGCCACAGCCAGAAACAGGGCTTGCAATACATTCCTAAGCGGTGGGAGGTCATAAGTTGGGGGCGGGGGCGGGGGGGAGATGAGATCTGATTTTCATTTTTAAAAGATCATTCCAGATACTGAGTGGAGATGCCATGATAGAGGGGACAAGAGGGGACATAGAACCGTTAGGGGACTGCTGCAGCCACCAGAAGGGAGGGCTTGAGCAAGAGCTAGAGCAAGAATGGAGGTAATTGGTTGCTGAGGACCGGCTTTGAGGTGGAGTTGAAGGCTTGGCTGTGAGAGGGCGGGAGGGACAAGAAGCTTTAAAAATGACCCTGGGTTTGGGGCTCTGGCTGCTGGAGGGCGGTGGGCAGCTGCCTGGAGAAGGGTGGAGGAAGAGTGGCCTGGAGGTGCCAGTGGGAATCAGAGTTCCCTTTGGGGTTTGTGAGATGGGAGGCGTCACTGGGCTCCATGTGCAGCGCCATTTGCCCTGCGGAGGCACGCGCCTAGGAGACAGGAGCTCTGCGCACCGAGAGGGGCTGCAACGTCACAGCACGGGACGGACTCACCAGGAGAGTGTTGGAAAGAGAGGGGGCTAGGACTGAGCCCCAGAGAACTCCAGGCCCCTGGAAGTCAGCAGAAGCAGAGCCCTTCGAGGAGGGCGAAAGAATCCCAGAGTGAGTCTTGCCCGTGTCCTGCGCAGGTGATGGAAATGGGTCTCCCCTCGGCGGAATGGACTGGCTGAGAAATAAAAGCTAAGAAAAATAGAATGACGAAGAAACCACAGGACACAGAAAGTAGTTTTAAAAGTGGGGGCAGGAGGGGCAAGCTGATCAGAAGGATGGAGCTTCTGGACTCTGGCAAAATGGAGCTTGCACTTGCTTTATTGATATGTGTGTGTGTGCGGGGGGTGGGGGGCATCAAAGGCAGGAGTCTGGCTTCTTGGTGTCGCAGTCAGCCGGTTGACTGACATCTTGGCAGGTCACACCCATCTCAGGTGCTGTGTGGGATCTCTGGCAGAGCTTGGGGGGAAGTTCACCTGTATCAGGTGATCAATCCCTGTGGGGGTGCCACGGGAGGCTCCCAGTGCCAGACTTATCCCCTCATTAGGCTACCTACTATGCGCAACATGGTCCACACACAGCCCACAGACGGCTTGTGACAAGTGAGGGAGGGGAAACCAGGAAACTTGGAAACAGAAGAAAGACGTTCCAGAGAGGAGCGTCCCACCGGGCCCACAGCTGCTGGGACCTGCACCATCACGAAGACGGAGACGTTATTATTGGATGTGCTTGTGTGGAGGTCACTGCTGCCCTTGTCAGGCAAGGCTCAGAGGAATGGCAGCGACTGAAGACAGATGGAAATGGGGGAACCACAGGAGCCCTGCGGGTAGACACAGGGGCCACGTGCCACTCACTCAAGAAGGGCTGGCGGGAGCCGGAGCAGGGAAGCTGGACCCCACAGCCAAGGAGGAGGTAGTGTCCCGGGAGGACTTCTTTGTTTTCTCTAACACCATAGCAGGGTTCTCACCTAACGGGATTGGCTGGTTGAGATGAGAAGTTAATTATGCAGGGAGAGCCGGGGTGGTCCCAGGGAAGGAGTCTTGAGAAAGTCATGGGGTGGGGGTGGGGTGAGGTGTAGAGAGCAGGAGCCAGGATCTGATCATCTGTGCAGCAGGGAAGGGCCACCCATGGAGACCGTGTAAAACGGTACAGGTGCACGCTCGCAACACCATCTCATGCTTCGACTCCCTGAGAATTCTGTTCCACGTGGCCCCTTCCCTAAGCTGTGAGTTTAGAACAGGGCAGGCCTCTGCTCTCTGGTAGGTGTTTGTGGAGTAAGTCATCCCTAAATCAACTTCTGGTGCTGCTTCAAGAGGCAGGGGCTTCTGCTCTACCCACACAGCCAACCATATGAAGTACACAGGCGATTCACGTTCAGGCGGCGCCTCTTCGCCCCCAACGCTGCCCCGCCAAGTCTTCCAGGGCCTGACCAAGGCCAGACCCGGCAGAAGCCTTTCCATTCTTCCAGCTGCCCGCCAGCTCCCCTTCTCCAACTGCCCCAGACAGTGTTTATCTGTCTTGCTGGCAATACCCGATTTGGCCTGGACTGAGATTTGCTATTTCTCTCCTGACGTCCCCAAGTGGATGAATGGTGGGGTCTCCAGGGACAGAGCCTCATCCTGTGGCCTGGCAGGCTGCGACACATCGTCAGTGGATTGCATCTCAGACTTGGCATTGAGCTTTCCCTCTTCTTCCTCCACAGAGCTTGAAATCACTCTCAGGCTCAATCACCAGCTCTGCGCAGACGGCAAGCAGAGGGGTCTCCGTTTCCTGTGCATGTCTAATGGGGAAATGGGCTCAACTGGGACCTGCCATAAACTCAGCACACAGAGGCAGACGTTCCTTCCCCACCAGGCCTCAAGAAGCTTCAAGCCAGGGGCTGCCTGCAGCCTGCGGTTCCTTCCCGCATCCCCATCACCTGGCCCGGAGCCTGGCCCAGGGTTGGCCCCCCAAGAATGTGCAGGAGGATTGAATGCCAGAGCCCCAACATGGTCCTTCTCCCACTGTATCCCTTGGACTTTAAGTAATCAATAAACTCTTGCTAACAGATATGCCATAAAAAGCCATCTTAAAGGTCTGACAGGCGCTCCACTCCTCGGGGACAAGGGAGAGCTCAGCTGGGGTGACAGGCTGACTTGCCGATGTAAGGAGCCATGTGCAGGCTGAGATTGGACGTGATCCCTGTGGTCCCCAAAGGCAGAGCCAGGACCGAAGGACAGCGAGGGAACTTGCTCCCAGGCAGATCTCAGCTCAGACCGGGATGAACTCTTGCACAATCGAATCTCTTCCAGAGGGAGCAGATGGCTCCCAGAGCAGCATTCTCTCCTCCGGCGTCCCAGCAGAGATGACAAAAAGTGACTCCAAGAATCCTCTCGGCTTTGGAGAGAAAAGGTGGACATCTGCAAATGTCACAAGTGCACAGTCTCTGTGCTGAGGGGCCCCAAGGCCTCTTCCACTCTGTGTGTCCTCAGCAGCACGATCATGCTCTGAGGGACACGCACAGAATTACCTCCAAGCCCCGGTGACCATCGCAGTCTGATCAGCTCTATGATATCCTCAGACTTTAAATGCCAGGCCATGTCAAAATCACAGGAAGGTTGAGATAAATTCAAAATACCTTTGCTTCCAAGAGCTCAGTATCTGATAGGGGTGGAGATGAAGGTGGAGAAAATATCCTGAGGGCAGGGAGCACAAATAATGCACCTGTGCTTTCTTCTGTTGCCTTCAGGACAAACAGAGAACAAGGAACCAGGAGACAGAGATCAAACCGCAAGCCTGACTGCCCACAGATTGAAGAATGTGACCTCAGCCAAAGGGGGCCTCCAGGCCTGTAGTGGACTCCTCCCCTCCCCACCCACAATCTGCAGGCCTTCTTCTGCAGGGGACACAGTCTGCTCTGTGGCCAGCATGGAAGAGAAAGGAAAGCACAGGATCCTGCTGCCCTGGTCAGGAAGGGAGCAGCTGGCTGCACAGGCTCAGTGCTGTGCCCAGACTCCACGATCCAGGACGTCCCTCTTCCTCCTCCACCTGGAGCAGAGGCTCTGCAGAGCCATTCAGGGGTCCAGGTGCTCAGAGGTCCCACTCTTTTGTGAAGCCACCTTTCATGGTGTTACTTCAGGGCTACCAGGTTGGGGAGGTGAAACCCGGTAGTCTGAAGGCCTTCTCAACGCACATCCTGGAAGTGGCCATCATCACTTCCGCCCTGGCACCTGTGAGTGGACAGGGACCTTGGGTGAGTGCCAGCCAAGTCCACCCCATGCAGAGAAATAGATGGCACCTGACTATGGGGACTCCTGAGTGTTCTCTTTTGGGAGCAAGGCTTCCAGTGCCAACCCAGTTTGTCCTTCTGCTTGCCAAAGGGCGCCATGGGGAGGGGGCGTGCAAACTTCCCAGAACCCGCACATGCTCAGGAGCACTTCTGAGATTCTGCAAAGACGTGGGTGCAGGGACTTTAACCCAGCCCCCTGGGGGATCCTCAGAGTCCACAAGCAGACTTTGGGGTGACGTGTGAACTTGGATGGAACAAAGTACCTGTTTATTCTCCCTAATCTCTCACTGAAATGCAGCATTTCCTTCCATTAAGACTGTGGGCAACGAGCTGTGTTTGCCTTTTCAGTAAATGAATCTGTCACCAGTAGAATTCGTGGCTGGGTTCATGTCACATCACAACTGTGGCTGGGATCTTGAAACGTCACCCACATCCACCTCTAATTTGAAAGTATGGTAGTTAAAGGTCCCTCAGCTAGATTGGATTAACATGCTAATAAGGAAGCACACGTGTGAATAGCATGTCGTATTGCAAAATTTCAATGACTTGATTTTCATATGGTTGATTTCTTTTAGAATGCAAGGCATTTTATACCATGCATGTAAAAGAGAACATAGGGGACTGTGGCACATAAGAGGTTTGGGTCTAGAATGTCCCCCAAAGCTCATGTGCTAAAGGCTTGGTCCCAAGTGCAGCACTGTCCAGAGGGGTTACTTCTGGGTAGCGATTGGAGCAGGAAGGCTCAGACCTTGCCAGTGGATTAACCCATTGATGGGGTCATAACTGAATGGACAATTAGGAGGTGGCCTGTGGAAGATGGGACCTAGTTGAAGGAGTAGGTCCTTGGGAGCAAGCTCCTGGTGACCATATCTTATCCCCAGCCCCTTCCCCTCTCTCTCTGCTTCCAGCTGCTGTGAGCTGAGCAGGTCTCCTCTGTGACACCCTTCCCATCCTAATGCTCTGTCTCACCACAGGCCCAGAAACCACGGGATCAACCAACCATGAGCTAACCCTGAAACCATGAGCCAAAATAAACCTTTCCTCCTCTGAGTTGATTTTCTCGGGTGTTTTGTTACAGTGACCAAAAGCTGACTAACACAGAACCCCGGGTTTGGATTAGAAAGTACACTTTCTATTGCTATCAAAATACCTGAGATGGTACTTTATAAAGAAAGGAGGGTTGTTGTTTTTTTAACTCACAGTTCCTGAGGTCCAAGAGCATGGCGTTGGCATCTGCTTGGCTCAGGCCAACATGGTGGATGGCATCCCAATGGGAGTGTGTCCAAGTGGGAGCGATCACATGGTGAGTCAGGAATCCAGCCAAGGCCAAGCTTGGTCTTGGTGTAACCACCACTGTCAAGGGAACTGGCCAGGGTTCCCAGAGAACTGCATTGATCCCTCCCGCCCTGGGCAGTCCAATCCCCTCCTCCTACACACGTCCTCTTAAAGGTCCAACCAGTCTCAGCATGCCCAGTCTGGGGTCCAGGTTCCCAGCACGTGAACACAAGGGACACTTGAACCATATCCCAGCCACATCAGGGAGAAACCCAGAAAGAGTTCAAGAAGACAATGATAACATTCACAGTCACAAAAAAGGACAAGATACTGCCCAGGGGCTAACAGTTCTTGAAATCTCTTGTTGCTGTGGTATTTATAAGCAGCGATTAGAGACCAACTTAAGCACCTGTTTCCTTTTCAACAGTTCTGTAGAAACCTGGGGCTATGTGCTGAGATCTGCCTCCCAACAGAGCCTGGTTCTTCCAGGGTGGGGAGGGGGAGAGCCCTGAGTGACAGAGTTCACCAGTATTCATGTGCAGATGCTCCTATGGGTGTGATGTCCTGCTACCCACCTAGAGGACATTACCAAACATGGAGTCGGGAAGAGGCACCACAAAGTTAGTTCCTGGATCCAGAGCTGAAGTAGTGAACACGGGGCCCAGAGAGGATTTAAGCACAGGTGAAACTTTCCTGGGGGCTTCTGCTTGGGCCAGAACGGAGTCGCAGAGCTGTCAGGCTGGCTCAAGCAAAGGACACGGGTGCCCAACTTCTCTGGCACCTGCTGATGGGCAGGAGCTAGGCTCCTGCTGTGGCCACGAGGAGAGGTGGGTTTCAGGGGCACCTGCGATCTTCCTCATCAGGCTGCTCGACAGGTCCCGAGTCTCATCGCCATCGCAGGTCTCCACCTGGGGTGTGCGGTTTACCATGCTCATCAGGTACAGGGAACTGGGTCACCTCAGTGACTATTCTAAATGGGTTGGCCTCTTGCCACTGGAGTTGCCCTTATCGTCTGGTAAAATCTCTAATAATATGATTTTCAGAATAGCACAGACCCTGCCTCGTCTGGGGTTGAGCTGGCCTTCTGCTGACCACAGAGTCCCAGGGGGCTGAGCTCACCTCCCAGCCTCCCGCCTCTTGGCCTTGGAGGCTAGTTTTCCTTTAAGCTCCTAATTTTCTAGAACCACTGCTAACCCACAAGACTGAGAGCTGGCTTGGCCGTCTCAATCCCCCAAGAGGTGTTTATCCTTGGTCCCAAGGATCCTGTTTCTCATGGGTCCCTGACTGAGGCAGCGACACACAGTCGGATAGCATTTCCACCATATAGAAACAGCTAACAGGAAGTCACTGCAACCATTAGGAAGTGGTGAGCTTTGAATTTATATTACTTTGCTTTTAAAATAACGTATTTAATGGCAAATTTGCCACTTATAGTTTAAGTTTTCACCCTGACTATTCTCGCATCCAGCTTCACAAAATCCCCCGACTGCTCCCCTCTGCTCTGCAGGCTGGTTTGGGCCAGCTGCAGCACGTCCGGGTGAGGATAGTTTTCTATCTCCCTAAGAGCGGCAATGCCCAGGAAGAATCCAGAAGGTGACCGCTGCCCAGACAGCTCTGAAGGGACCCGGGAGTGGCAGGGGAGGGGGAAGCCAGGCCCTGCTGGGTCCTGGCATCTCTGCTCCTGGCCCTCTTCCGTAATTCACCCAGGTCCCCAGGGTCTGACTCACCTAAACCAAATTCCCATGGACAGTGGTTGTCCTGGGCCCTGGTCAGCCACTTCGGTGGGATCTTTGTCTTGTTTTGCTTTGTATGGTTTGTAGGGTTATGATGCCACAGCATCCCTCTTCCAGGTCATCTTGGCCAAATTCATGCCCCAGAGCTACTTCACCTCCTGTGTGATCTGCTGCTTGTTGACCTTGATCTCAACAAGGGACACAAGCACGTCTTCTTTGTGGCTGGCTCAGTGGTCAGGGGAGCTTGATGCTGGCCAGTGGCCATTCCCGTTGCTCCTGGGCTGTCCCTGTGGGGGCAGATGACTGCCTCTGGAGCCTCAGTGGCTTGGGCCACTGGGAAGTGAGTGACGTGCACACCTCTCTGTGGCTGTGGACGCCCTTCTGCACTGCCTCCCTGCTCTTCTGCTCTAGCTGCAGCCTTGGGAGAGGCCAGAACTTCCTTCTTCACTTTTATCACCATCTTGGTGAAAAGCTGGTGGGATGTCACCAGAGCTTGGAGGTCCCCTTTCCCTGCTGTCCCCTCCTGTCATAGCTCAGCCCGCTCAGACTTACCTGATCTGCTATAAGGGCCTGAGTCCTTCTGCTTAGAGCTCTGCCCTCTGTGAACAGGCAGGGGCCCAGGAAGGAGGGAGGGGACGCCATCCTCACTGCCTGTTCCCTGCCTGCGCTGGCTCCTCTGTGCTCCCGCCAGGGATGCTCCCCCTCTGCTAGGGTTGGAACATCTGGCCCTTTCTAATCTCATGTGGAAATTTAATTACCACTTCAGTGTACTAAGAGACGGGTGCTGAGACCATCCAGGGATTCAGCTGGACATAGCCAAAGGCATCTTGAGTTGTAGCTGCCAACGACAGGAGTGGGATCATCTGTGAAAGTGGGTTTTGTATAAAAAGACAAATTCAGCCCCCCCACACCATTGCCCTTCCAGCTTCTACCAGCATATGACCAGCCTGAGGGCCCTTACCAGATACTCAGTCTTCCTAAGATCCAGAACCATGAGCCAGTACATTTCTGTTCTTTATCAACTACACAGTGTATGGCGTCCTGTTACAGCAGCACACACCAGCCTGAGACTCTCCTCATCCAGGACTTCAGTTACCCAACATGAGGAACTGTGAGCCAAATCCCCACCTCCTGGGGCCCACCTCCCTGCCAAGAGCTCTATGGGAACAGCCCACGGGAACCTCAAAAGTGTCCCAAACCCAGCTCATCAGTGCTCCATGCACTCTCCTCCCAGCCCTAAACTCAGCTCCTGAAGCTCCAAGCCTCAGGGATGAAGGAGCTGGCCAGAGGCTCCGCCTCGCCCTACTGACCCCCCTCCCCCAAATCCCCCACCCTCCTCCCCCCTCCATTCTTCAGCATCCTCAGGCCCCAGCCTCCCCCAGCCTCATCCTCACTTCCTCCCCCACCTCCTCCTCCCTCCCTCCCCCACCTCATCCTCCCTCCCTCCCCACCTCATCCTCCCTCCCTCCCCCACCTCCTCCTCCCTCCCTCCCCCACCTCCTCCTCCCTCCCTCCCCCACCTCCTCCTCCCTCCCTCCCCCACCTCCTCCTCCCTCCCTCCCCACCTCCTCCTCCCTCCCTCCCCACCTCCTCCTCCCTCCCTCCCCACCTCCTCCTCCCCCCCCCCCCCACCTCCTCCTCCCTCCCTCCCCACCTCCTCCTCCCTCCCTCCCCCACCTCCTCCTCCCTCCCTCCCCCACCTCCTCCTCCCTCCCTCCCCCACCTCCTCCTCCCTCCCTCCCCCACCTCATCCTCCCTCCCTCCCCCCCCCCTCCTCCCTCCCTCCCCCACCTCATCCTCCCTCCCTCCCCCACCTCATCCTCCCCTTCCTCCCCACCTCCTCCTCCCCTTCCTCCCCACCTCCTCCTCCCCTTCCTCCCCCCCTCCTCCTCCCTCCCTCCCCACCTCCTCCTCCCCTCCCTCCCCCACCTCCTCCTCCCCTCCCTCCCCACCTCCTCCCTCCCTCCCTCCCCCCTCCTCCTCCCTCCCTCCCCACCTCCTCCTCCCTCCCTCCCCACCTCCTCCTCCCTTCCTCCCCACCTCCTCCTCCCTCCCTCCCCCCCTCCTCCTCCCTCCCTCCCCCACCTCCTCCTCCCTCCCTCCCCCCCCTCCTCCTCCCTCCCTCCCCACCTCCTCCCCCTCCCTCCCCCCCTCCTCCCCCCTCCCTCCCCACCTCCTCCTCCCTCCCTCCCCACCTCCTCCTCCCTCCCTCCCCCCTCCTCCTCCCTCCCTCCCCCCCCTCCTCCTCCCTCCCTCCCCCCCTCCTCCTCCCTCCCTCCCCCCCTCCTCCTCCCTCCCTCCCCACCTCCTCCCCCCTCCCCCCCCCCCCCCCCCCCCTCCCTCCCCACCTCCTCCTCCCTCCCTCCCCCCCTCCTCCTCCCTCCCTCCCCACCTCCTCCTCCCTCCCTCCCCACCTCCTCCTCCCTCCCTCCCCACCTCCTCCTCCCTCCCTCCCCACCTCCTCCTCCCCTCCCTCCCCACCTCCTCCTCCCCTCCCTCCCCCCCTCCTCCTCCCCTCCCTCCCCCACCTCATCCTCCCTCCCTCCCCCCCCTCATCCTCCCTCCCTCCCCCACCTCATCCTCCCTCCCTCCCCCACCTCCTCCTCCCTCCCTCCCCCCCCTCCTCCTCCCTCCCTCCCCCCCTCCTCCTCCCTCCCTCCCCCACCTCATCCTCCCTCCCTCCCCCCCTCATCCTCCCTCCCTCCCCACCTCATCCTCCCTCCCTCCCCCCCTCATCCTCCCTCCCTCCCCCCCTCATCCTCCCTTCCTCCCCCACCTCATCCTCCCTCCCTCCTCCCCACCTCATCCTCCCTTCCTCCCCCACCTCATCCTCCCTCCCTCCCCACCTCATCCTCCCTCCCTCCCCACCTCATCCTCCCTTCCTCCCCACCTCATCCTCCCTCCCTCCTCACCTCATCCTCCCTTCCTCCCCCACCTCCTCCTCCCTCCCTCCCCACCTCCTCCTCCCTCCCTCCCCCACCTCCTCCTCCCTCCCTCCCCCACCTCCTCCTCCCTCCCTCCCCCACCTCCTCCTCCCTCCCTCCCCCACCTCCTCCTCCCTCCCCCCCCCACCTCCTCCTCCCTCCCTCCCCCACCTCCTCCTCCCTCCCTCCCCCACCCCCCTACACTTCTTCCCAGACCTCTCTAACCTGCCCACACTCCACCGTCCCAGTCCTGCACCACTGGAGCCTCCCGACCACCGAAGGGCTGCCATCTGTGTCCTCGAGCTGCCCTCCCTTCTCTCTCCCACCTTCACCTCGGGCTCCCCTCTGGCTTCAGGAGGTTCTCCCTACCCGTGCTCCCTCCATCTCAGTCCCCTGGCTCTTGCTCATGCTTTATGGCTTCCGCTTAGTGTCCCTGCCCCAGGGAGCCCTGTGCTCCAGTCTGGGGTGCTTCCATGCCACCTGCTCCGGGGACGTGCACCCCCATGGCCTATGGGTTCCCCAGGCTGGGGACCCAGCATTACAGAAGGAGCACAAGGCTTGGGCGCATGTCCACTGAGGACTGCGCAGAGGCCACCAAACTGAAGGCCAGGGATGACGACAGCAGACAGACTTGGAGAGCCTGTTGCCAGCAGCCATGGCGTGGATGGAGGCTGTAATGCCAGATTCGTGGGACCCCAGTAGACCTCCAGGAGCCAAATCCGATGCAATCACACAAGAGTCTTTATTGCAGGCTCAAGCCTGGACTCACGACCGTTTCCTACGCAGCAGTCCCAGGGAGTGAGCCACAGTCCTTTAGTTCAGTGAGGATTATAGTTTTGGGGGGGAAACTCTATGCCTCACAACATTACATGCAAATCATTTCACACAGCGGGAAAATCAAACACAATTCTTAACATTGATTAGCACGTTCATTGGCGGGAACAAGTCAGGTAAGGGTGATTGGTTAGTACAAGTGGTGGATACGTTTGAACTGATTGGTTTAGGCTTCCAGGGGTTGCAAGAGTTTATATGCTAAACTTGCAGAGTTGCCTAATCCTGTTATCAATCACCAAAACTACTGGGAGGGCCACCTGGCATTTCAGATATTTTCCCTGTCTCGTGCTGATTGGTGGTTGCTAGGGGGTTGCTGGGGGTCCTCACCTAGTGTAACTGAGTCGGGGACAACCTGGCAGCCGCAGCTTCTCCTGTTACTTACAGACAAACAACTCAGCAGGGTGGCTGTGTGCCTAGGAGTGCTCTGTGGGTTTTTCCAAGGACGAGGGTCACGCCCCACCTTTGGACAGGCCCTGCTCTGAGGTAGAAGCTCGTTTCTCAAAAATGGAGTCACTTAAGTTTCTCAGAGGTGACCCCGGAAAGCTCGCGCGTGAGACCGTGCAGGGAAGCTCAGAGGAAGGGACTGGGTTGCGAGAGCCTTGACCTGGTCAGTGCCTTCATCCCCGCCCCCAGGGGTGAACCGAGTGGGGACTGAGCGCAGGCAGAGTGTGCCTGCAGGAGGCGGTCTCCGGGGGCGGCCTTTGGGATACATATTCTGTCCTAGTTGACCTGAGCTCTCTGCTTCCTGGTGGCCCTGTCCTGAGCTGCTTTCCCCCGTCCACATCCCTCACCTTGATGTTCTGCCTCACCCCGGGGCCTAGAGCTATGGAGCTGACCGTCTCTGGACTGAGACCTCTGACACCGCCGTGAGCCCCAGATAAACTTCTCCTCCTCTAAAATTGTTCTTGTCAGCTCTTTCGATCACAGGGACGAAAAAGCTGAC